ATTTCTTCTAGGATCTATTGAAATCTAAGGAAAAAAATAATCCAAGCAGGTTAACAACAGTTTTTAAGAATTCATATGAGCTATTAAAGTCAAAACAATTCTTGACGGAAGAAAAGACAGCTGTAGCAGAATCAGAGAGAGAGAGAGAAAAAAAATGAACGTTTTCATTACCAACCTTCTACAGTAATAAATCATCACACAGATGACTGGGACTTGAGTTTAAAATATAGTGATTGTATTTTTCCAGGTGCTTCTCAAGCTTTGTTTTTCTTATTATGGTAAAAACATGGGCTCAGAGATTCACCTAATTTTTAAATTTAAATTTATCAAGGTATATAAGATTAAAGATAATTAAATGTGCCTTATAACTAAAAATAAAGCACACGAAACAATGAGAACATATATCAGTGCTAGAGGGGCTCTGGAGAAATAAGAAAAATCAGAGGTTTAATTCTTTCTTTGGATACTTTTATCAACTTTATTGCATGCTTGTCCTATATTGCCTATAAGTTAATTTTGCAATTAAAGTGGTGAATTTTAACTGAGGCAAACAAATCCTTAATGCTTGCTAAATTTTATCACCAACAAGAACAAAAAGACCTACACTTCCAGCATTTTTGGCTTAAAAATCCCACAAAACTTGTTTCTCCATTAATGAAAAATTTTCCATTCATACTCATTATATATTCATTATAGAAAACTTGGGAAAATACTTAAAAAAAAAAAACATGGGGCCAGGGATGTAGCTCAGTGGTGCCATGCCTGCCTGGCAAGCACAAAGTCCTGAATTGAATTCGATCCCCCACCCCCTAAAAAAAAAAATCCCAAAAAACTAAACATGATGAAGTTTAAAAATTGCCCATATTCTCATCCTAGATAAACCATTCAGTTGGTATATTTCCCTTATTCTACATGTTGATTTGCATATTTGTTATCATACTATATCTAGAATTTTATACCATGTTTTTTTACTTAACTGTACATCATAAGCATTTCTCATACTTTATGTAATCTTCTAACTATCATTTTTAAAGGCTTTACAATAGTCTATCATATGGTAATATTCTAATTTGCTTAGTCCTTCCCCTACTGTTGGAGGTTTAGGTTGATTTTTTTTTTTACTACAATAAATAACATTTCAATGAATATCTTCATGTAAGAATCTTTTCCTATATTTCCTAATATTAGAATACAATCAGAGGTAATGGAACCAAGGAAATAAGTATTTTTAATACTTTTAAAATGTTTGAAGAGCTGGGAATGGTGGCTCATGTACATCTGTAATCCCAGCATTTGGAAGGCTGAGGCAGGAGAGCCACTGTGAGTTCAAGGCCAGCCTAGAAAACATAGCAAGATCCTGTTTCAAAACACTTTTCTCCTTTTTTTGGAGACAGGGTCTCAGTATGTAGTTCAGGCTGGCCTTGAACTCATGGGGATCCTCCTGCCTCAGTCTCCCAAGAGGTGGGCTTATAAGCATAAACCACCATGTCCAGCCAGGATTGAATGATTTTTACAGGTGCTGTTTTGTTTTCTATTTCTTTGTTATTGAAGTTGAGCTATTTTTCCTCCAAATATTTAATAATCTTTTCTATTTTCTATTCTAATTGTCCATGTCATTTGTCTATCCATTGGAATTTTAGTAGTTTTCTTGTCAATTCATATTTGTTTCCTAAAGTAAAACACTTTATATCATATTTGTTGTAAATATTTTACCCACTTTTGTGTCATAATTAAAATAATATTGATTTTTAGAGGCAGATGTTTAAAATTTTTTAGACAGGCCTGGGGATTTAGCTCAGTGGTTTTGCCACCTGCTGCATAAGTGCAAGGACCCAAGTTTGATCCCCGGTACCTAAAAAAAACAACAAAAAACAAGACAGGCAACTCCACTTGTACCCGTGTATTTTTTTCTATTGAATTCATGCTCATTCTTTCATTCAATAAGTATTCACTGAATACTTGCTACGTGGCAGAAGCTAAGCAAGGCCACTAAAGATACAGCAGGAGGTAAGACATAGTTTTTGCCTTTGAACCCTTCATATTTTAGTAAAGAAGTCAATAATCAAGCTGATATACTTCTTTAGAAGCATAATTACTGTTTGTGTTAGGTAAAACCAAGGAAATAAAGTATTATTGTGGAGAATAAAGCAGCGTGGATGATTTATTTATTCACCATGATCAAAGAAGAGTTTCTTGATGGGATGACCTATAAGTTAGAGGAAGTTTCAAAAATCCTCTCTGTTTCAAGTCAGACATTTACTTATATTGGGCATTGAACAATTTTTTAGTCTATTTCCTTACTTAAATTCTTCTGCCTGGAATTTATTGTGGAGTAGAGTATGGAACTTAATATTTTGTTCTATGTGGCTAATTAATTGGTCTAACAGCATTTACAAAATAATCCTTTCTTCCTTCAGAAAACCTTACTGCTTTCCTATTATATATTAACGTTTTATAAAAGGAAGGGGAAAGGTGGAATGGAGAGAAGTCAGACAACAGGTACCAAAATATAGTTATAGAGGAGGAGTAAGTTCTAATGTTCTATAGTACTGGAGGGTGATTATAATTCACAACAGTTTATTATATGTTTTACAAAGAACTAGAATAGATAAGTCTAAAGTTTCCCAATGCAAAGAAATAATGTTTAAGGAGATGGAAATGCTAATTACCCTGATATGATATCATACATATTATATATATTATATATAATATCATACATATTATATATGTATCAAATAATCACACTGTGCCCTCTAAATATATATATAATAACTACATGAAATAAAAGTTGAAAACAAAAAATGCATATATACTTTTCCATCCTATTGATGGGTTAGTTCTTGACTCAGAATTATACTGATTTAATTTTTGACACTTAATACTTAAAAATATGTAGCATGGAAAATCATGTTTTTCCCTTTAATCCATTTTGCAAAGCTATGTTCACTTCTTTATTCTTTTTTAAGTTACTTTTTATTACTCCTATTAGTAATATATAATATCCTATTATATAAAATTCACTGGAATTAAATTACATCTACAGGGTAGGAAGAATGAAATCTTCATGATACTCAGTCTTTCCATCCCAACATGCCTATTTTCTCTTCAGTCTTTCTTGAAGGCATGCAGGTATCACCCAAGCTTGATGTCAAAGCATGTCCTTGAACAAGAGAAAATGAAGATATTTTGTTAATCTCTCATTATTTATTAAATCAGACTATCTCTCTGCTTGCACCTAGGTGAGAAAAATAAGAAGAAGAATGGACTTTTAACCACAGAACACAGGTTTACATCAAACATTTCTTTTAAAATTAAAAAAAAAGAAACTCTAGTTTCACCATTTCTCAATTTCCCACACTCATTCTAGACTTTCTTTGGGAAGGGATGTGAGAAAAGAAAACAATGAACCCTGTTCTTAGCTGAGATCATATCCTTCTGCTAAGAGAAATTCTAAAAAACAACAACTACCACTTATTAAACATCTACCAAGTTCTGTCATTAACCTTCAAAAGAATCCTGCAAGATAGATGGCAATTTTCACCTGACAAAAAAAGAATCTAAAGTTCAGAAAGGCTCTCAAAGCCACCTAGCTAGGTAATCTTGAAGACTCCTGACTGAGAATTGGTTCTCTTTGACTCAAAATCTTCACCAACATTACAAATAACTAAAATGATTTCTTAGTAGCAATCAAACCTGTGGCCGCTGCTAGTGTTTTCCAGTATTTCATCCATAGACAAGATTTTGTTTGTTTGTTTTTGTGGTACTATGGATTGAACATTGGGCCTTACACATGCTAGGCAAGTTTTCTGACCCTGAACTATTTCCTCCAGCCCAAGATAGCTGTTTTTCAATAAGCCCTAAAATCTTATAGTTTACTGCTCTATAGTTCAAGTATAAACAGGTAGGTAAGTAATAGGAATACTTCTAAAAGGTGACTGAGGAAAGGAAGGCAGGAGTAGCTGAAGTTCTTAGACCACATCCAACTTCCTACAGAGAAGGAGATGGGCTTCCCCTTCTGCTGTACACACTCATCCACCCTACCTTCCATCCTACCCAGCCAGTGAGTGACCTGGCAGGGTTCTACGAAACAGAGTCACAATTTTAACACTGTCGACTGTATGGGAGCTCTGAATTTTTGCTGCTTAGTTGGTGTACTGGGTGGAGAAGGAGAATTGATTCTCAGGGCTTAGTTCCAAAATTTAGGGTTCTTTCATTGAATCTTTGGGTTAGGAAATATTTTCAAACACTGCTCCTCTGTCCGTTACCTGATGAAAGAAACATTTTCAACTACACTTAGTATTCTATAAATGTGTTTCTTAGAGCTTTCAAACAGTCACTGTAAGGAAATATTTCTTACATTTGGTTTAAATCTTTTTCAATCTTTTGTAACAATAAGGAAGAGTTCCCTTCTAATACTTTCTCAAAAGCAAAAAAAAAAGGCCAAATTTTAAGCTCTCACTTTCATTTATAGTCTATAGGCAACACAACTGTGAGTTTCAAAGTGGTACATAAAAATCTTACATGTAATACGTACTTCCCTAAGAAAATTAGAATTGTGATTTTAAAAGCACTTTTATTAGTCTCACAAATTATAGCAAAATCTGGAGTAAAACTCATCTCTTCATTAATGCTGAGTTCTCTAACCACAACTATTAATATTTATTAATATTTTCAGAAATATTTAAATCAAAGTCTGATTTGGCAAAATTTGTTTTGTTTGTTCTTTCTTGGTATTGAGAATTGAACTCAGGGCATCACGCATACTAGGGAAGGGCTCTACCACTGAGCTATATCCCCAGTCCAAACCTAATTTTTTAAAAAGTATTGAATGTATATGTAGGCCAGAAAATGCGACAGATTTTCAAGAGGCACTTTTATTATCATTCTTACAAGATGATGGAAAGTAATATTTTGAAAACATCTCTTAAACAGCCACATCCAGCATCACTGCTGCAGGGATTCTTGACTCCTCCCTCCCAGCTCCTCAGGGGCCTTCAGCACTGGATTCCAGACTGATTCTCTGTGCAGTGATTCCAGCTCTGGGAGCAGCTCCTGAAATGAAGCTCTAGATTGTTTAGTGGACAAATAAGCCAAGAAGAGAGAGGGGTGCACTGGGATTTGGAGAGATGCCCAATGTACCATCCTTTATCAGAGAAATAAACTTTAATTTAAAAAAGATAAGGGAATGAAGAAAGAAAACATGTAGAAGAGGAAGAGAGTATCAATAGAGCTAGCAATTTCTAACAGGTAAGAAATTGGGAAACAAACCTTTAAATGCATTTCATGTTAAAGTAGTAAAGTTTTAAAATGTGAAGATTATTACAAATGGGAGTTGTAGTGTTTTCAGGCCTAATGATACCAATTGTCTCTGCTTTGCTTATATGATTTTGAAAAGCAGCCCTACAACTTTAGAGTGTATACCAGTGTAGGAAAATTATCAAAAGAAATCACCAAAAGCTAGTATGGGCAAAATGGAGTAATTATTTTAGTAAATAAATTTAAAATCTTGGTATATGCATTTTCATTGCCAGAGTTATACTCTCCTATCTCGATGCATTTGATGTAATGTTATTTCAAGAATTAAAAACATCAACTTCCCTAAAATAAAAATCTCAGTCATTAACCTTCTAAGAAAATTAAAGCAAATTCAGAAAATCTGTGTTGGCTTGATTTTAAGACTATGTTTGGGAAATAAAATATGTATATCTGCCCTATCATTTTATATAGGCTCAGGCAATTGTTAAATTCAAGAAAACATACATGAACAATTTTCAGCAATGAAAATCAAAGTACATATAATTAAAAAATGGATGAGTCAAAGGTAATCCTCAAATTTTAAGACAGCACATATTTCTGCAGTAGATAGACATGAAGTTTGATTTTGAAATAGGTGAATAATAATTGAATAGGATAAGGAGATTTGTATGTTGAATAACCAGGCCAATTATACTTTTTAATAAGGCTGTAAGAGAGGAGGCATTTGTTTCTTAATGCTTATTGGATTACTTAATGTACTATGTTCTTAGGGTAAGCTCTAAGAGATTCTAGTTTTGTTTGTTTTATGAGAACAGAGATGATTAAAATGATTTTTTAAATGACCAAATATACTTGGAATATTGCCTTGTACAAGGTTTATAAAGTAGAAGTCTTATTTCTGGTTCAGCTACTAACTATGCAACCATAATCATTTCACTGATCTTAATTTTCATGTTTATAAAATCAGAATTAAAGTATCATTCTTATGGAGACTGCTACAGAGATCAATTAAGACAACCAATGTATCAGCACATGTATTCTTGATGAATTAACTTATGAAAAGAGCAGTACTTTGAAAATTATTAAGCCCTAAACAATCGTGAGATGTTATTTGCATCAGCACAACCACAGCATCTGTATCCCTTGAAATTTAAAGAAAGAGAGTTCTATGGAGGTGCTTACAGTGTGCTCCTGCCCTGGTGGGGACCTTCATACCTACTTGTGGGGTAAGGTTCATTTTGCCACAGGCCACAGACTCTAAAGTTACATAAGGGAATTTTTTTAATATAAAAGAAATAGAAAATGTTCTACTCACTTGCCTTTAAAATTAAGAATAGTAAATACAAAACTTAATTCAGGAAATATAAAATATGAGGCAGCAGAAAATAGTGGAAAGAACATGGAACTCTGAGAGCCAGGACATTTGAGCTCTGGTCACTGTAACATCTGTCAAGCGAGAGGAGCATGTTAGACCTTTAGTCTCTCCCAGGTCAAAATATCATAGCTCCAAATAATCCAAAATATGCCTTCATTTTTTTCTTGTGCTTTACTTTTTTCCCTATGTTTTGCATAATTAAGGGAAAGGAGGAAAACAGGATAGAACACGACAGACAGAAAAAGAGGAAGACAATGAATGGTAAGGATAAAACACAGAGAGACCAAGGGGCAGACACACACAAATTCGACCCTCAACCTTACCCCAACCCACCCCAAAACAGAACTGAGTAAAAAGAAGACACACACCAACTAAAGACATTCAGATACAGAATAAATGTGCACATATCGATTATAGCAGAGTGATACCTTTATTTTGTTCACTTAAAAACTTGTCAACACAAAACTATAAAAAAATTAATGTAATGTTGTAGTTTCACATTAAGAGCTATAAATGGAGTCAATTCAAGGTAGGTGCCTCATGAGCTAGATATAATCAAGTCAAAATTTCAAGATAACCTTTCTCTGCCATACACTACTCCCACTTTTTAAGCAAACTGTCACTTGTTATTTTTCAATCTCATATCCCTTGATCATTTCCAAACAAGCAAGCCAAAAATGAACTTCTCTAAAGTAGAAATGCATCCCAAGCACTTTTTTATGAATCAGAGCTTACTATTACTTTGCTTCAAATAAGTAATATTTAAATATTTTTAACTTAATAGTTACCAGTGATGTAAAGTGTAAATCTCACATTGCAATTTGAAGTCTATATTTGGGGATTTTCCTAGTAATCTGATCTGAATCAGGCAGAGGATACTGGATAATATAACTTCTGTACTCTTCTTTGAGTCTTTCCCAGATGGGCTCATCCAACATTCTTCTGACTTTTCCAAGCCTCTATAGGAATTTATAGGCTGGAAAACAATTTTTGCTTTGCTACTAATCAGCAACAGGAGAGTAGAAAAATTTCCACCCAGTTTCAGACCTGCTGTTGCAGGATGGTGAGTAATTCCCATTTCCTAGGCAGATAACCCAGATCAACAAGAATAGGCAATTTAAGGTTTCCAACATCTATTCCCATCTCTACTATCAATCTATTGGGAACTCTGCAAAATTCTGTAAATTTTTTCATATGCAAAGAGAAAACTGGTATTCAGACCATATTTGCAAGATTCATAGGAACTTTTTCATATAGACAATAATAGCTGAGGGGAAAAAAACATATATAAAAGACTAGGCTGTTTTTGTTTGGCTTTAATTACCCTCTTGGCCCTTTCTCCCCAACAAATTTGATGTTGGAGAAATAATTATAGAAGATATGAAAGCATTCTTCGCTTTTTGGAGGATGGGGGCTAGATCAATTCCATTCAAATGACTGACAGGTTCAACAATGATAACAACAATGAGCACTTAAATGTGTAATGTTTGACAGTTTATAAAATGTTCCAAAGATATTGCATCATTGGCTCTTATAGATTTGACAGAAATTAAATTTTTAAATTTGATAGATGGAGAAATTCAGGCCAAGGAAAGGAGTGGCCTGGACAAGCTCACACAGCTAGGTAGTAGCAGCATATATCACCTTAGAGGAAGCCCAGGGCTCTCTCCAGCATACCAAGCTGCATTTGTTGCCAATGATTATTCCCTTTTCTTTCTTTTCCTCCTCCATCTGAAGCTTGCTTGGTAAGAGGCTTCTAGCAATCAAAGCATTCTATTTCTCATTTTCGTTCTAGTCTACTAACTGATCATAAGTAGTTTACATATATTGAAATTCTCCTTCAATCATTATCTATGAACTCTAGATCTGTTGAACAGCTGAATCACAAAACCTTTATTTCAAACACCATGGTTCATAAATTTTGCTATTTCTCCTCATGACCACATCACATCTGAGCCACAGAAAAGTTCCCTGGCTCTTTCTTTATAAAATATACTGTCTTTATCAACAGTTTCTATTCATGTGTGGTATTTTTATGGTGTTCTTCATCATGGTATCTATTGTTGAAAATGTTAGAATTCTTAAGATGATTTCTTTCCAATAACAATCTGCTAAGCCTTTGAACTCAGGAAAAATACGAGAGCAGGCCAAAGTAATTTCAAAGAGCACATAAAAGTTCATTCTCTTTCATTCCTTTTGCTGATTCCTTTATTTATGTTGTTTTCTTCAAATTCCTAAAGAATAAATCAAAATCAGGAATTGGTTCCCCCAGCTTTTGCCATCTTTCCACATGTTCTTTTTTAGCCAAAAGCCTTATTCTTAGAATGGCAGGGAACTCATCATGCCTGCTGTGCATCTTGATATGAATATTTCACTGAGTATGACTACCCTACAATAAGAAGAGCCACAGGACTAGGTCAATCCTTTTCTCTGAAAATTAGAAGAAGGGGCCTTGAGGAAGGAAAGACTGGAGGAATGGTTTCTAAACAAAGTTAACTCTCAGTAGTAGCTCACTAGGCATTGGATGCCTTGCTTTGATTCCCCAGAATCTAAAAAATATACCCCCAAATTTCCCATGCAAAGTACAACTTTAACCCCAGAGAGTAGAAGAAGTAAAAGGAGGAGATGCCATATGCTAGTCCATAACCACCATGCTTTGTGATTCTAATCCCAGCTTAAACTAAAGGCTAGAGGCCCTGGCCCATGGGGTTGACAAATTTTATTCAACCCACACATACTGAAGACCCAATTCTATGCTCTATGTTGGGGATTAGGGACCAATTTAGTTGCATGATCCATTTAATCCTCACAACTCAGACAGATATTATTTATCCCCATCTTACAAACAGGAAGCTGAAGAGGGAGAGTAACAGACTTTTGTCAAAGTCAAACAGATACCAAGTAGTGATGCTCTAATTGGAACATATCTTATTCCCTTTGTGTTGCTATAACAAAATACCACAGGTTGGGTAATTTATAAAGAATCAAAATTTATTTCTCACAGTGCTGGGAGATGGGAACGTCAAGATCAAGGTGCCAGCAAGTTTAAGGTCTGGTGAGGGAGGGCTGCTGTTTCTTTTTTTTGTTTTTTGGGGGTTTTTGGGGTTTTTTGCTCTCTGTTTCTAAGATAGTACTTTATCATTGCACTCTCCTGAGGAGATCAACACTGTGTCCTTACATGACCAAGGGATAGAAAAGATGAACATACCCCCTCACTCCCTTCTATAAGGCACTAATTCATTAAAACGGATATGGTCTAATCACTTACTTCCTAAAGGTTCTGCCTCTCAATACTGTTGCACTGAGATATGAATTTTGAAGAGATTCCAGACATTCAGACTGTAGCAGCATCCAATTCCAAATATAGTACGCTGGTCTCTACACCATAATCCCTACCCTTACAACTTTTACGGTCTATGTATGGATCAAGCAGCTACATAACCGGATAACCCTAAACAAACAAAAAATACAGAAGTTTGAGCTGCCTCATAGGCAGCTATAGGGTGACTGGATATCATCACATTCCCTATGTCCCTAGCTCTAACGACTATACCAATGAGACTAATAAACCACCCTGAGAGATTCGGGTACAGGTACACACAGACCCCCTGGAAACTTGTCTATGTCCTCTCAGGGACATAGTTCCAGTACAGAATTATCCATATTGTTAAGAACTTTCATTAATATTCTGGATTCTCTTTAATTTTAGGTTCTCAAGAACATGCTCAAATCATTCATACGTTTTCATCAAACACAGAGATCAGAGAAGACTATACTCTCCTAATCACTTACTGAAAGTCGCAGAGCAAGGTGTTTCCCGTGAATTGACAGCCAAAATATCCACTCATAATACAAGCAAGCTTGCAAAATATTTTCTTACAATCCTGACATAATGGAAGTTTCTCTAAACCAGCCAGCATCTAATGAATCCAGTGCAAAGAGCAACCACTCTGCATTTTTCTACTTCAAATCCTGTCAATCCCTTTCTATAACCTTACTCTTGCTGCTCATAGCCTATACTGTGGTCTTAGTCGTGGGCCTTTGTGGAAATCTCTCTCTCATCATCATTATCTTTAAGAAGCAGAGAGAAGCTCAGAATGTCACCAGCATACTGATTGCCAAGCTCTCCTTCTCTGACATCTTGGTATGCGTCATGTGCATCCCTTTCACGGTCATCTACATTCTGATGGACCACTGGATATTTGGGGATACCATGTGCAAACTCACTTCCTATATGCAGAGTGTCTCCATCTCTGTGTCCATATTCTCACTGGTATTAATTGCTATTGAAAGATATCAGCTGATTGTGAACCCCCGTGGCTGGAAGCCCAGTGTATCTCATGCTTATTGGGGCATCACATTGGTTTGGCTCATTTCCCTTCTGTTGTCTCTTCCCTTGTTCCTGTCCTACCACCTCACTGATGAACCTTTTCGTAACCTCTCTCTCCCTACTTCCATCTATACCCACAGGGTGGCCTGTGTAGAGAACTGGCCCTCCAGAACAAACCAGCTCCTCTTTTCCACCTCCTTGTTTATGCTCCAGTACTTTGTCCCTCTAGGATTCATTCTTATCTGCTATGTGAAGATTGTTATCTGCCTTCACAAGAGAAATCAGAAGGTAGACAGGATGCGGGAAAATGAAAGCCGGCTCAGTGAGAACAAGAGGATCAACACAATGTTGATTTCCATCGTGGTGACCTTTGGAGCCTGCTGGCTGCCCTTGAACATCTTCAATGTTATCTTTGACTGGTATCATGAGGTGCTGATGAGCTGCCACCATGACCTGGTATTTATAATTTGCCATTTGGTTGCCATGGTTTCTACATGCATAAACCCTCTCTTTTATGGCTTTCTCAACAAAAATTTCCAGAAAGACCTGATGGTACTTATTCACTACTGCTGGTGTTTTGCACCTCAGGAAAGATATGAAAATATGGCCCTCTCCACTATGCACACAGATGAATCCAGGGGATCTTTGAAACTGGCCCACAAACCAACTGGCATATAAAAATTGGTAATACTTAATGCCAAAGCCCTTCTTTAATAGAATACAGAGAGGTAATGGTGGGGGATAGTGCAAGATACAAAAAGAAGCCAGAACCAAAAATATAGCAATGTTATACTCAGTTTTGCTTTAGACTAATCTTATGTCTCATATATCAACCCAACATTCCATCTGACACACAGACATATACCACCCCTTTCCCTTTTCTTAAGAGAATAATAGCTCAAACAATCAAGACACTGACATTTGTGGTGGAGAATCAAGTGAGGAAGCAGATAGGCAAGAGAGATAGGGGTGGTTGGAGAACAAAGTTCCTGGGTCCTGTTGTGCAATGGAATATCCACAAAAGTGATTACTAATGATACGAGCCATAAAAACAATCCTATTTCTTCTTACCACTGAAGAAATTCTACTTTCAGATATGAAACTAACTTTTAACCATGGAACTGTTCAATTGATTAGCCAAGTCAGAAAGTGCCCTACCACAATTTATTATTTAGTTAACTAAGTTTCGATTCAAATTAAGGGGGTTGGTGTAGCTTAACATATACACTAGTATAGTAATTACAATTAATTCCAATGCCTGGATCCAATTCCCTGCTTTATAATAACAGTATATTTTCTTCACTAACAATGCTATTAATGTTAGTAGAACTGGCCACAAATTCTTTAGCACTCCTATTATACTAGAAGTCACTTTAACTTCTTAATGGAAGATATAGATACAGCTTTCTATATTGAACAGAAAGCTTTTTATCTTGAATTATTTATGTATATTAAGTAAGGATCATTGTGACTCTATTATTGGCCTGAAAGACTTTACAACAGCAACTTTACAATTACAATTAGCTCCAGATTCTAAAAATACTGTCAAATATCTTATTACTTAAACATCTTCAAAGCTCTCTCTTCTTCACAGAGTCACTTACATAGGAGAATAACTAGATTATTTCAAAAAAGGTTCCAAAGCTAATGTTCAAATAGCTGTTTGCTTGGAGACTTTAACTAAATCATGACCAGCTTTGTCATTTCCTTGGATAAACCTCCTTTATACCTATTAAATTTGAACTGAAGCTTATATATATATTGTAAATATATAAATATATAACCATTTTCTTTTGAATAAATATTGTCTGAATACCTGTGTTTTTCTCCTGAAAAATTTCTCATCCTACCCCTCTCCCTTTTTGTTCACTCCCTCCTCTCTCTTTTTCATTCTCTTCTTGATTTCTATTCTGTCATTTGGGGATAAATGAATAATAAAAGTCCTACTGGTCACCCTAATGAACTAAAATGTGTCTCACTCTATTAGCTGCACATACTATGATCTAAAAACCAAGTTCAAATGGTGTCTATCTTAGAACCCTAAAGGTTCAAAACTGTGACTTCTTAGCCCATGAAGCAGTCACAGTCTTCCTACCCTTTCATAGTAGTTAGTCCTATAGTTAAGATCCAATGTGATATTTGACTTATTTGACAAAGAAATATTGAGTCCAGTTTCCATTATTAAAGTGATTCTGATCAAACCACTAAAAGCAGGGAAGAGCATCAGAGTAATCCTGCTCCCTCCCCTCATTCACACACATACACTCACTCTCTACCCTTGCCTCTCATCCTCAGCTTTCAGAAAAAATCTAAATATATGATTAGATATTATGATATTCTTTCTGACTCCATAATAACAGCGATTTTCTTCTATAAAGCTCTTGTTTCTTCTTTCAAACTTTCGTGAGTGCCAGTAAAATAAAAGTCAAGTCACTAATAGTGTAACTATCAATACTGTCTTTCTTGTGTTTATTTTTTATATCAAAAAAGTAGTGAATTAAACAGACTTTTTAATGCTTGTCTTTGCCGTCAAGGGACTTATGTTATAATAAATGGAATGCAGGTCTTTAAGTGGCTACTTAAGAAGGTATAATGGAAATATAAAGCATTGTTGTTTATATTATTGTGGGAGCAGAGATGAATATCATACCAAAAAAAAAAGTGGAAAATTTTTAACACAGCCCTCTTTCTTCTGTGTTTTATAGTATTTTTGCATGATTCACACCAATGTGGTCTACAGTTGAGCCACCCAATGAATGATGTAAGGTCCATTTCTCGCAGTTGTTTCCAATTAATGCCAGAAGGGCCTGTCCTCATCCTTTTAGGAGTCCAAGACCATAACTTCATGATGTTTGTCACAAAGCCCTAGAAAGAGACTCCACTAGCCAGTATGCCAAAAATCTATCTGACCTGAAGTTACTTTGAGTTGAGAATAACTTCTCATGTCTATACACTTTCCAAGAGAAAAAGACTCTCAGCAGGATGAATAATATTCACATAAGAACCCTCAAAGACAGTCACTATTCTGAATGTGACTGTCATTGAAAGAGAACAGAAAATGCTATAACACCCTTGCAACAAATCCCTAGATTTTCTCTCTGCCCATTCCTAAAAGATGCCCAGCAGAAATACCCAGACAATTTTAAAGAGATAGAACCAACAACATAAATCATCAGAAAACTCAAAGGTAGTTTAAATGTGCCTCTTTTTTTTTCTGGTACTGGGGATCAAACTCAGGACATTGCGCTTTCGAGACAGGCATGGCACCACTGAGCTAAATCCCCAGCCCAAATGTAGTTTAAATGTGTTGGGTGAGTATTTTCTGCAATGTAATACATGAGATTTTGAAAGAGGTATAAATAATTTGATTAAGCAACATATATGGAGTCTCAACTCAAAGAAGTTATTGAGGTTGAACAGCATAGTTCATCAGCCTAAAGAACAATCAATCTCTCTTCCTCTGAGCTTTATTCTTTTTTTTTCCCCTTCGGAAAACAGAAATATTTAATCCTTTCCCCATACATTAGAACTTGCTTTATCCTCAGGGCACAGTTTGACATGTGCATGCGCACTCAGGATTCACCTCATGGTGCACTCACTGCAGGAGAGAGAGTAGAAATGCTAACCTCTGGCTAATGGTCACTCTGAAATCTAATACTAATTTTATCTTGTGACTTACTCCAAATTATTCTTTTTTTTTTTTTTTTGGTACTGGGAATCAAACTCAGAGACTTGTGCTTGTCAGGCAGATGCTGTGCCGCTGAGCTACATCCCCAGCCCTCCAAATTATTAACCATAATCTTTTTTTTTTTTTGGTGGTACTGGGGATTGAACCCAGGACTTCCCACATGCTAGGCAAATGCGCTACCACTAAGCTGCAGCCCCTCCTACCATAATCTTTCTTTTCAGGGGAGAGAATTACTGATAGAAGTGCAGCCAAGAAAGAATCTTTCCTACCATAATTGCAAGAGAGCCCAGTGTTCTCAGTCAACTCACCCTCCGACTTCCATAAACATGCCGTTTGGTGTGCTCAACGTGCGCCCAAGATTTCCCCTTCTCCTGATACACTGAGCCACCAAAATCTCTGAATTCCCTAAAGCTCAAAATTCCAAGTATCACGCTAGTGCCAGGAGTCAAACCTGAAGATAAAAGCGGAGATGTTCCTCTCTGCCAGTGCTAGGTTTCCTCCTTGCAATAATAATCATCATCACAATAACAATAATAAAAAATCCCGGCTGTACCATTCAGGAAAAGGATTATCCCTCCCTTTGCCAGTTCTGTCCCCACTTCCCTCCTCAAGGGTGGCCCAACTGAGGGTGTCTAGGGGTGCTGTGGAGGCCACTTGGCACCTGCCCTCAGTAAGCACGCTGGCAGAAGGACAAGACAAAAATGGGAAGGTGCTTGCACACAGGGTCCCAAGGGTCCTCTGGGAACATGCCACTGACCTCAGAGCACCCTAGTGCTCATCTTGAGTCCAGGAATCATTGAGCCATGCCCTGGCCCTGACTGAGTCCCATGACAACGAGGCTGCATCGGGGGAGGGCTCTTTCACAGTCTGTCAGCAACTTGCTCACCATGTCCACATCCATGCTGCAGCCAGAGGCCTCTCACCATAGCCCAGTCCATTCCAGCCAAGGTAAGAATCAATGTTCCTGATTCTCCTGTGTGATCCCAGTCACAAGAAGCAGGTTGCAGGCCATGAACTGCACGCTCAGGACACTGCTCATCTCCCAAGTGCAGACACCTACGAGCTCATTGGAGGAGCCATCTGCAGGCGCACTACAGCATGTGTTCTGGAGGTCCCAGATGCGCACTGAGTTGTCCACGGAGGCAGAGGCCACTAGGCCACTGTCAGGGCTGAAGGCGAGGCTGGTGATGCTGTCTGTGTGGCCTCTCAGCTCTTTAAAAAGGGTCCCGGAGGCCAGGTCCCACAGTTTTGACCGCTGGTCCTCACCAGCAGATGCCAAATACTTCCCGTTGGTTGGGAGAGAAAGCCAGAGAGAGCACAGGGCCACGGTGGCCTGTGAAGAGCCTCACCGAGTTCCCCTGCTGGGCACTCCACAGCCGGACAGTCTTGTCGGTTGAGCCGGTGGCTAAGTAGTTAGAGTTAGGGTGGAATCTGACACAGTCCACATCTGCCAGGTGTCCTGCATATATCCTCAGTGGGTACGTCCGATCAAAGGACCACAGCCTGGCGGTGCGGTCATGGGACCCACTGGCAAAGTACAGGCTGTAGGGGCTGATGTCCAGGTCCCACACGGGGTAGGCATGTTCTTGGTACAGCACAGTGTTGGTGAAACTCCCCAGATCCCAGTACCGGATGGACATGTCCTCAGAACAAGAGAGCAACCCTGAGCTGTCCACAAGGAAATGTGTGCTGTACACTGGTCCACAGTGTCCCCGCAGGATTTTCATCTCCGTGCCTGCGCTGTCCTCCTCATCCTCCTCTTCCTCCAGAGTATCACAAGCCAAGTGGATATGTGATGTGTCTACAAGGTGGGGCTCTGATTTCAACTTCTTGGACCGCAGACTCCAGAGTTTTATACAAACCCAGCAGCTAGCAGCTTGCTATTGGGGGCAATTTCTGCAGTGTTCAGCAGCTGCTCCATGTTGTAGAAGCCGTAGAAGCAGATGGTGGTGAGGGAGGGGGGGCATCCTTGACACGTTTGATGCTCTCTTGTAAGACTTCCAGTGCAGCCTCATTCTGTAGAATGGGGCTGGGCACTTCCGGGGGCTCCAGGTCGCTGCTCTCACTAGGGGAAGAGCCACCACTGGCATAGAGCTGGTAGTCTGTTCTCTTGGCAGGCTGCATGTCCAGGTGGATATGTAAGGTGAGGACCTTGCACAGGGCAGTGTTGTTGTCACTTTGGAGGTAGCGGATCAGGTAGTTGTAGCTGTCTTCCTGGAGACGGACCACGTACTTGTTATCTAGGAATGCACGAAGCTTGAAATTGGACAGGATGTCCTGGATGGTCTGAGTTGTCTGCAGCTGCTCAATAACATCCTTCTGGCTTGCATTCTGCAGGAACATTCCATGGAAGCAGCTATAGAAACTTTCCACTGTGCTTTTTGGGCTGCTCTGGACCAGGCTGAGATGGAGGTAGACAAACAGTGGGTAGAGAAGGGGCATAACTTCATGGTTGTACTGGGAATCAGAATCAGTGAGAAAACTGCGCAGTCATCCAAACTGTACTTCGTATTGCTGGGGTTCTGCCTGGCAAGGGGCTGCAGACACTATGTTGGCACAACCAGATTCTGACTGGACTGTGAGGTTGGCTGCCATCTCCTCAGCAGTATGAGACAGACGCAAGCCTTGCTTCAGTGGGCCATCTGAATCCACGTACTGCCGGCGCTTGAGGTAGCAGGACACTGCCATCTGGACTTGCTCGGTGCGCACCGGTTTCATGACTGAACATCCCGGGCGGCTCCTGCTCCCGCCGCCGCCGCCCGCTGCAGGGCCTCGCTCCACTGCCGCTAGCCGGGCCTCCGCGCCCCTCGCCTCGCCGCACCCGTGGCTCTGGGCAGTCGCCCCATGACCGCCTGACGGAGGGGCGCGCCGGCTGGGCCGCAGACGCCGACGCCGCGGCCAGGCGCTCTCGGCCCTCGGCTGCCTCTGAGCTTTATTCTTCATAGCATAATAAACTAAGAAAAATGAATTTGTTCTTTATAATGTACCTAGTATTGTCTTAGGTATAGATAAAGGGTAAGACGCAGCTTTAAAAACTGTACAAGCTAGCTGAGGCTTTGAAGGATTTACAACATTGTACCACGATAACTTGATGTCTTTTTTTGAACACTGTCAGTCTTTTTTTATC